TTTTGACAAGTGTCTATTCATATCTTTTGCCCGCTTTGTAATGGGGCTGTTTGTTTTCTTCTCTTAGGACTTTTTGATCTCCTTGAAGATCCTAGATGTTAGGCCTTTGTCATATATACAGCCGTGTCATATTTTTTCCCAAACTATGGTATGACTCCCTGCTCTCTTGATGGTTTCTTTGACTTTGCATAAACTTGTCTTATAGAAGAAAGATATAAAGAGAAAATATTTTCTTTTTTATTTTTATTTTTTGGAGTCTCACTCTGTCACCCAGACTGCAGTGCTGGGCTCCGGCGATCCTTCCACCTCAGCCTTCCAAGTAGCCGGAACTACTACCAGCTAATTTTTTATTTATTATAGAGAAGAGGTCTCAACAAGTTGCCTGGGTGGGTCTCGAACCCGCAGGCTCAGGCAATCCACTTGCCTCGGCCTCCCAAAGTGCTGGGATTACAGGCTGAGTCACCAAGCCTGGCCTTAGAGAAAATATTTTCATATGGCTGTATAATGTATTTATAATTATAATTATAATTTATAATGTTTTAAGCTGTATTCTTCCACAAGAGTCAAGAAGTTAAAAAATAAGAGTTTTATGAAGTAAAAAGTTACAGTAAGCTAAGGTTAATTAATTAATTTATTTTTCTTTTTTTTTTTTTTTTGAGTAGGAGTCTCACTCTGTCGCCCAGACTGGAGTGCAGTGGCATGATCCTGGCCACCGCAGCCTCACCCTGCTGGGCTCCGGCTATCCTTCCACCTCAGCCTTCCAAGTAGCTGGAACTACAGGTGCGTGCTACACGCCCAGCTAGTTTTTGATTTATTATAGAGATGAGGTCTCGCCAAGTTGCCCAGGCGGGTCTCGAACACGCAGGCTCAGGCAATCCACTCACCTCAGCCTCCCAAGGTGCAGGATTACAAGCTGAGCCACCGAGCCCAGCTAGGTTAATTTATTATTGAAGAAAAAAATATTTTTGAGTAAATTTAGTGTCGCCTAAGTGCACAGCATTTATAGAATCGGCAGTATGTACTGGAGTGTCCTAGGCCTTGACATTCACACACCACTCACTCGCTGATTCACCCAGAGCAACCTGCAGCCTTGCAAACACCATTTGTGGTAAGTGTCGTGGTAAGTGTCATATACAGGAGTACTATTTTTCACCTTTTATATAGCATTTTCAGTATAGCTTTTCTATGTTTAGATACACAAACACCCTTGTGTTCCAATTGCCTACATTATTCAGTACAGTCACATGTTGTGCAGGTTTGTAACCTTGGAGAAATAGGCTACACCATATAGCCTAGGCATGTCATAGGCTGCACCATCAGGGATTGTGTACATATGCTCGATGATATTCACACAACAATGACATCTCTTAACTATGCATCTCTCGGAAGATATCTCTGTCCCTAAGCAACGCGTGACCATGTAAGTATTTTTTTTTTTTTTTTTTTTGAGTCGGAATCTCACTCTGTCACCTAGGCTGGAAGGCAGTGGCACACTCACGGCCACCCCAGCATCGATCTCCTGGGCTTGGTGATCCTTCCGCCTCAGCCTTTCAAGTAGCCAAACTACAGGCGTGCGCTACCACGCCTGGCTAATTTTTTTATTTATTGTAGAGATGAGGTCTTGCCAAGTTGCCCGGGCTAGTCTTGAACCCACAGGCTCAGGCAATCCACCCACCTCGGCCTCCCAAAGTGCTAGGATTATAGGCTGAGCCACCGAGCCTGGCCTGTGTAGGTATTCTAATTTTCTTTACTATTTGCAAATGTCATTTTCAGGTATATTAATACTCAAGCTGTGTTATTTCCTTTCATGTCTATTTGTTGCTACTCTTTTTTTTTGAGTTGAAATCTCACTCTGTCGCCCAGGCTGGAGAGCAGTGGCACACTCACAGCTAACCCAGCATTGACCTGCTGGGCTCTGGTGACCCTTCCACCTCAGCCTTTCAAGTAGCTAGAACTACAGGTGCACTCTACCATGCCCGGCTAATTTTTTAATTTATCATAGAGATGAGGTTTCGCCACGTTTCCTAGGCTATTCTCGAACCCGTGGGCTCAGGCAATCCCTTCACCTCAGCCTTCCAAAGTGCTGGGGTTACAGGCTCGTCCACCGCGCACGGGTGTTCCTACTCTTTTTAACAAATATTTATTGAGCTCCTACTGTTTGCCAGTCACTGTGGATATAGAGTGAGCAAGGATCCAAAGGGAGAAAAATGAAAAGAAGCGTTGATTCAACTCAGATACAATCTGTGCTTTCCCCTATTAGACTTTACTATGCCTAAATGGCTCTTTTTATTTGTGTTTCCTACATAGATGGCCATACTAAGGGCAAACCTTCTTGTCTGTGAGTCATGTAAAAGTCTATCACATACAATTATATATGGCATATAATACTCGGTAATGGTAATACAAGGCTACGTTGCTGGTTTGTGTACTTTACAGTACTACATGTTTGTTGTCATTTTAGAGTATTCCTTCTACTTATATTTTTTTTAAAAGTTGGCTGGGCTCAGTGGCTCAGTCTATAATCCCAGCATTTTGGGAAGCCGAGGCGAGTGGATTGCCTGAGCCTGCGGGTTCAAGAACAGCCTGGACAACTTAGTGAGACCTCTTCTCTACAATAAATCAAAAATTAGCCAGGCATGGTAGCATGTGCCTGTAGTTCCGGCTATTTGGAAGGCTGAGGCAGAAGGATCGCTGGAGCCCAGCAGGTCGAAGCTACAGTGGCCAGGAACGTGCCACTGCACTCCAGCCTGGGTGACAAAGTGAGAGTCCAGCTCAAAAAAAAAAGTTAACTATATAACAGCCTCAGGCAGGTCTTGTAGGGGGTGTTCTGGAAGAAGGCATTATCATAGGAGATGAGAACATGTTGGTAGATGTGTTCTTTGGACAATGTCTGGATCATGAGGAGGGGTAGGGCCACACTGAGTCAATGCCCTCCATCCTTTGCCCATATTCTTCCCTTCAACGGTGGGACCCATGGACCCTTGGACCACTGGGGACAGAGGCCTTACTCACTTCCAGGGACCTTGGTTCAAGTGAATGTCTCCTTACCCTCTCTGTCATCTCTTCTGCTCTGAGGCTGTGAGAAAGATGAAAGGAAAAAGCAGAAAGTGGAGGAAGCTTGAAATGAGCGGGCAGACACCCCTCTTGGCCCCAGAAGCCTTGGCAGACCCTAACGGTACTCAAGGGATTCTCTCCCTCTCCGGCTTTCCCTGCCCTCAGAGGTTCTCACTCATTTCCAGGCCTTCTGGACTCGAAGAAGGCCAAGACTGCAGGAACCAGCGTTAGAGATTGTAAAATCAACACTGGATCTCAGGGAATAAAACTTCCTCATTAATAGGAGACCCTGAATTTTCAGTCATTTGGCTTCAAGTACTTTTCGGGAATATATGATGTCCGAAAGTGGTAGATGGCTAAAAGCCCTCCTTATAGAATAGGGCTTCTAACTAGGGGAGGTTTTTTCTTTTCATGTCAGGAGAAAATCTAAAATTAGTATCCATCAACGCATTACCATAAACCTGCTAGAATGTTCGTTGTGTCTTGCCAGCAGGGGAAGATGTGAACACTAAGTTGGTGTTGACGCCCGAGTCCAAGCATATTATTTTGGCTGGCATAGCTACATGACTAAGCTGTATCCTCTACGCCTGCCATTTTGCCATCCCAGAAGAAATAAAGTAGGTCTTGAATCATTAGCTATTCCTTCATTGTACAAACAGCAGAAATGTTTAAGACAAGTTAGAAGTATCCAACCTGTGGTTCCTGTTTCATTTTACATCTTGGTGAGCATATTCAAGTAGAGTTAAAAACATCCAGATGGTGAATGAACTACCGGGTGCATCATCCAGATGTTTTGTCTAGACATCTACATATATTCATGAAACAGCTGGATGACTGAAGATTGTTTACTCATCTTAATTTACTGGCTTTGGATAGACACGCTATCTAAATACAGCACTTTATTTATGATGGTAAAAATTACACAGTAGTTGAAAAGATATATGCAGAGAAGTTTTTCTGCCAACTCGGTGGAAGATAAATACCATCGGTGCATCAGCAGAACTATTCTTGGCAAATAACTATTATTCAGCTCTCCATTATCATCTGTTAAAAAAATAAAATGAGTGGTGAGGAGATAACAGTGTTATTCTTCACTTTCTCAAACATAATTAGAGAAACAATAGTGGCACAATTTTTTTCACGGACCCAATTATATTTTGCCTCCTACTGTAGCTAGTATTTTCTCAGTTATGGTGGGCGGGTCTCACCCTTCTGCTGGTTTACAATTGACAGATTTAGCAAATAAAAATACAGGATACCCGGTTGAATTTGAATGTAAACAATGGTTTTTGTTTTGTTGTTGTTGTTTGTTTTTTAGCATAAGTATGTCCCAGTCATTATTTAGAACATACACTAAAAATGATGTTTACCTGAAACTCACATTGAACTGGTCATCCTGTATTTTATCTGGCAAGCTTGCCAGTTTCATGTTGGTTCCTACAGTAGGAATTCAACAAACAACTTCTGCGTGACTCTATTTGTGCAAGGAATCATCCCAAATGCCAAGGTGAATACAAAAACAACATGAAATGAACAAAGCTGTAAATTCTGTACTCTAGTAGGAGATATAAGACAGGTGCAAATACAGAATGCAGTGAACTGTGCTGCCCATATTCGTCTAAGTCCAAAAACTGAGAAACACAGCAGCAGAGACCATGTGCTGTAAGAAAGTGACCATGGGCGGTAGGAGGGTGGAAGAAGCTACCAGCTTTCCCAACAGGAGAGATGACGATGGCGTCCATCCTGGACATTCAGTCAACATCTGAGATGGGCCAATGAAAGGAACATGACAAATGCACGGCAATAGGAAGGTGCGGGGAATGTTCCAGAAACATGAAATGGACAGTGTGGCTGGGGTGCAAGCTGTGGGCAGTCAAGGGAAAGAAATGCAGAGCAAAACTTCAGAGGCAGAAGGGGGTCTTCAGAGGCAGAAGGGGGTCTTCCACAAAGGCCGTGCATACCAAGGTCCAGAGATTGAACTCCACTCCATAAAGCAACTTGCATCTGCATAGAGGGGAGTGAGAGTATTGAAATATACACGAGGGATGAAAAAGAAGTTTCATACCAAACATCTCAATGCAAGCGCTCAGCAGTTCATCTAGCGTGGCTGCTTTCCCAAGGCCGCTTGACCCCATTGTTGTTTAGCCGTTGTCAAAAAACCAGAGACATCTTCAGCATCAGACACACCATCTCCATAATCACACAAGTCGATGTCGTTAGCACTTAGTGGTGACCTCTGTTTTCAGTTGTCCTTCAAGAAACCCTTTCCAAAAAGAGAGGAAGTTATTAGATTGGAGTTGAGCCTCCAATAAGCATTACTCTCCTACCTGAAAAGATGACTTCCATAGACTGTATCTTTCTATGAGAAAAATATCATAGAGTGACAGAGATGACATCAACCGCCATGATGGCAGATTGTCTGCTGGCTGTCCCTGTGCATGGATGGCACACAGAGACTACAGGACTGTTCCCTGCTAAATATCACCTCACTTCACAGCTGACATTTTTTTTTTGATGCAATATTTTACACTTCATATTCTTAAGTGATGAGACTTTTTTGGCTTAATATTAATGCAAGTATGTACAGGGAGATTTTTATTTTTTTTAATTTTTTTTGAGTTGGAGTTTCACTGTCGCCCAGGCTAGAGAGCAGTGACATGCTCACAGCCACCCCAGCGTCGATCTGCTGGGCTCCAGCCATCCTTCCGCCTCAGCCTTCCAAGTAGCTGGAACTACAGGCACGTGCTACTACACCCGATTAATTTTTTGATTTATTATAGAGACGGGGTTTCGCCAAGTTGCCCAGGCTGGTCTCAAACCTGCGGGCTCAGGCAATCCACTAACCTTGGCCTCCCAAAGTGCTGGGATGACAGGCTGAGCCACCAAGCCTGGCCAGGAGATACATTTTAAAATGCATATACATGTATGAACATTATCCTCAGTGACAAGCTCAGCAACTATAAAAAAAAAAAAGTCTTCTTGCTTGTCTCCTCTGATGGTCCACATTATTTTTAGTCATGGTAAAAATTCTAATTTTTTGAAAATCCACATCCTGCACTAGGCACCATACCTCATGCTTTAAATACAAGTATTTTTCAACTTGACCTCTAGCACAATTCTGTGAGGCAGTAATGAATTGTCCCCAGTTTACAGATGAGGTCATGGGATTCACAGAAATTCGGCAACTTACCCAAAACCACACAACGATTAAGGCCGGGATTCAGGATTCTGTTATCAAATAAAGCTTCTGGGGTCTCTTTCTCCCTTTTACTACTCTCCCAAGTGCAGATATCACAAACTGTCATCATTTTACACCCTAACCTAGTGTGAAGACTATCAGTCCTCCACACCATCTCGGAAAGAGGATAGAAGCCAAGTCACCTGTCATAGAGGCAGAAAGAAAATGTAGGGATGACAGCTGTCCCATTTCACAGTACCATCATGGGGAAAATGGAATTGGATATAACCTCTCAGAGTGGCTCACACTAAACGTATCCTGTGAGGGAGATACACCACTTTATTATTATTTTAATAAGTATCGATTTTAATTATTTATTTATTTTTTAGTCAGGGTCTCACTCTGTCCCCAGGCTGGAGTGCAGTGGAACGATGGCTAACCACAGCTTTGACCTCCTGGACTCAGGAGATCCTTCTACCTCAGCCTCCTGAGTAGCTGAGACTACAGGCATGTGCCACCACACCCGGCTAATTTTTTCTATTTTTGTAGAGACGAGGTCTCACGATGTTGCCCAGGCTGGTCTTGAACTCCTGGGCTCAAGCAATCCTCCCACCTGGCCTCCCAAAGTGCTGGGATTACAGGTCTGAGCCACTGCTCCCGGCCCATCACTTCATTTTACAGAGCAGATGCTTGATGCTATACAGGATGTGGAGAACTAGGGAGGTCATCACGCCATAAGACCTTTATCCATTTTGGAAAATTGAGTAGGTAAGCATGGCCATTAAGGACTCACATCATGGGCCAGTTGATGTCAATGTCTATTTCAGCCTCAAGATTTATTCAGCTGTCAATCACGGAGCACCCAACCTATGCCAGGCACTGGCTAAGCCTTGAGGCCACCAAGATGAACAAGTCATTGTCCCATCCTTACCTGCAACGGGCTCAGAGTCGACTTCAGAAAGCAAACACATGAATGAATAGGAAACAACACCAACTGCCCATGTGTATGGGTGTGGAGTCCAGTGGGCCTACGGAAGAGTGACGTTTGAATGAGTGTGTTCCCCGGGCACATAACTCTGGAGAAAACAACGTTTACTGTCTGTCTGTCTTGTGGAAGAACCATATTCTTGGGCCCCGGGACCCTTAGAACATGGAAAGAAGGGTGATCTCAAGTGTGCAGTAAAAGTAGCAATAGCAGCTCAAATGACTTGTGAAAGGATTTGTGAAAGTCATCTGGAAACAACTCTTCTGCATCTGTCAACAAAGTCACCATATCAGCAAAGCCTTTCCTGACCACCCTATTTAAAACACAACCACCTCTCTCTCCACACCCGCCTCTCACTCAACATGCCCTTCCTGGATTTATTTTCCCTCATAACACTTATCACCATCTGACACAGTCTGTATTTTATATGTTTATTTGTTTTTTAATCTCTCCAGCACTGTCAACAGAAGCTCCACGATTACAGAGACATTTGCATCTGTTCTCTAGTATATTCCTTCACACCCAAGGCTCTGATTCTCACCCAGAAAATACCAAAAAAGCATTTCCTAAAAGTAATGGATGAGTAGATGGGTGGATGAAAAAAATGAATAAAATAAAAATTGTCAAAGGTTTGTCTTTGAATATGGTATATTTATGTGAGTGTGTATAGATACCATACGTGATTAAGAGGTTATTTTTCAGTTTGTTTTACTAATGTGTTTTGTTTTACAAATTTTTATCAGCTGTAATAAAAAACATCACTGGGGGAAGGGGGGAGAAAATAAATGAAAACATCATTAGGATGAAAAATCTGCCAGCTTTAGACTTAATAGGATCTACCTATATTCCTAATAAGAACTTAATACCTCTTCTGGGATATATTGGGAAAACACCTGATTTCTCTCATGTACTCTATGAGTACCTTTAAAAGTCAAGATCAAACAGTTAACAAGTTTGACTACCTTCATGTATATTCAGACATTTTTTATCCTGCTACATACTGAATAGCAGATGTGTCACTTAGAATCAAATAGCCTAGATTAACAAAACTGGATTCAAAACAAAAATTATTCTGCGGAACTATATGGGGAAGGTATTGACCTCCTGACAAGGGGTTAAAGATGACCTGGGACCAAAGACCTGTCCCCATGTTTAGAGTTCTAGCTGTGATCTGTACAGAAGCTGGCACAAGATAAGCCAGCAGGGTCGGGCTGCCCGGTTACAATTTGTTTCTAGTCAGTCAACGTGTCTGCATCTCTGCTTAGCATTCTGACACCTGCTCATTTACCTGAGGTCTCATTTCGTAGGTGTGGACAGTATGGTGTCTATGATTGCCTTTTCAACAGTAAGGCTTCTTCATTAAAGAAGTGATTCATGATTTACAATAGGGCAGGAAGGAAAAAGGAAAGGAAGAAGTGACCCATAATCTCATCATCCAAAGACGACTTTTGTTAACATCATGACCCATTTCTTTTAGCTTGTCTAGGTGTATTTATTTTTTAGGAGAATTTCTTACATGCTTTGCAATCGTTTAAAGAAATACTTACCTGTTGCTTCCCTACAGATAAACTTCCAAGTCTGAGAGAATGTTAAAGGCAGTTATCATCATCAGGGAATACTTTGAGGAATCTGTCTGCACAACTGGTTTTTTTCAACTTGAATTATTAGTACTTTGGAGAACCTGATAAAAGAACAGAAAGAAACCCCCAATCAGAATTAAATAACGGAAACCCCCCAAAAGTCCACATTGCATTCAAGCATTTCCAAAAACCTTGAGTTATAGGCATTTGAGATTTGTCTCTAAACTTCACCTACAAATTCAATTAAAAAGGGAGGGTATTCAAAATAGTTCTTCAGTAACATGACTTTTTCTAAACATGTAAGATTTTTTTAAAATTCAACCTATTAAAAACCCACGACTATGACAAAACCAAGCTCTATACACATAGTGTAAAATACTATTTGAGTCCAGATATATTTATGTAAGTGGATTCTTCATTAAGCATTTCCAAACACCAACTTTGGAATGTTAGTAAATCTTTAAAACGGTTTGTGGTACAAATCATCAGACTCTGACCCTAAATCACTCCTGATTGTCTCAATGTGAATGTCAATGTTATTTTAGTCCGGGTTGTTTAGTCTCCCAATGGAGACTTTAGGACCTGCTGTTTAGGGCCTACGGTAGTTTTGATAGGGGTTTTCTGGCTGCAGTGAGAGTGACTGTTGTCCAGCATAGATGTTTTCTCACAAGTCTGAAAAGAATACAAGCCAAACTTCTCCTGGGGTTTGTATTATTTCTAAGAGAGAAATGTTATTTTATTTCTTATTTTTAATTTTTTTCTTTTTTTGAGGGTTTTGCTCTGTCACCCAGACAGGGTTTTGCTCTGTCACCCCGACATTTTTTTACCCTGAAACTTACTGAATAGTAGATGTATTACTTAGACCTAAATAGCCTAGATTAAGTAAACTGGATTCAAAACCAAAATGATTCAGCTGATCTGTCTGGGGACGGTATTGACCTCCCCACAAGAGGCTAGAAATAACCTGGGACCAAAGAGCCATCATCATGTTTAGAGCGTCAGGCTTGAACTCCTGCTCAGGCGGTCCTCCAACCTCGGCCTCCTGAGTAGCTGGGGCTATAGGCGTGTGCCACCACGCCCAGTTGGTTTTTTAAGTTTTATTTTTATAGAGACGAGGTCTCGCTGTGTTGCCCAGGCTTGTCTCGAACTCCTGGGTTCAAGCAATCCTCCCACTTCAGCCACCCAAAGTGCTGGGGTTTCCAGGCATGGGCCACTGTGCCCACCTGAGAAGTTCTATTTTAAAGGACATACAGTGTTTTGGGGTGTGATTTCAAAGGTCATCATATGCTCATGTAGCCAAAGGTCTTCCAATAACATGGTTTGGGAAGCCTCTATTGTAAAAAGAAAAAAAAAATCCTACTGAGGGTCCTTAGACAATAAGAACTGTGTTCCCAATGTCTGAACTAGTCAAAGGAAGTCAGTTCCAGGCAACTGTTCATTACTTGGTATAAATTAGCATCCCAGGCTCTTGACTCAGAACCTTTCAATTAAAAAAAGAAAGGAGGGTTTTAACGTTAGATAACCAAAATGGGGAATGTTTCTCTTACCTCTTAGTAAAATGCCATAATGCTTCTCGATTGTTTAAGAAGAATGATCACGTGAACCCACCATGGCACTTGCAAAACCCTGAGTGTTCAGGGGATGGAGTCTCCCTTTCCTGCACTACCTCTTTCCATAGAAATTTTCTTTTTGTAGCAGTGGGGTGCAGGCCCTACATGACCCAGGCCGATCTTGAACTCCTGGCCTCAAGCAATCCCCCCACCTCAGCGTCCCAAAGTGCTGGGATTACAGACATGAGCCACCACTCCCGGGCCTCTCCTCAAATTTTGAAAACCTTTTAAGTTGAGGATTGATGTAGGGACAATCCATAGAAGCAACAGAAAGAAAAGAGAAAAGGAAATGGAAGAAAAAATAGTGAGTTACGAGAGCATCCAGCAGTGGGCCAGGTGGCCGCGCCGTTCCTGAACATTCTCGAGCCAAAGTTAGGTAATGACTGTCAGAGACGCCGCAGACAAAATTCCCAGACGGTGTCTAGGACGTCCGCCAACATGACAGGGAAGGCTTCTCCTGGCTCTCGGACTGCAGGATTCTTAAGATGAAATATTCTATCTGGTAAGAATTCAACAAATAGTTTTGAGCTGATGTTGGCCATATAGGGACTTTGGAAGATGGTCTTGTCTATCACAATTTCTCTAGCCCAAGAGAAAACAAAAACCCTCGGAGACCCTTCCCTGCTAATGGCGGATATTATCTTTATGCATAAATGACCACATCTAATTCTTTACATTCATATGGCTACAAGGGGCTTCTCCACAGGTCTAAATCCTTTGTGAAAACAAGTGGTAATTATTGCAAACTTTGAAGTCCTGAAGACTAACGCCAAAGGTGTCAAGACATTCATTGTTCTGGTTATAAGCAAACTTAATTTTCCTTTCCCATCACAGATAGGAGATCGATTTTAAAGTGCTGACATTATATTGTCTGATACTCCATAGAAGAATCAAGATTTATATATATTTATTTATTTATTTATTTATTTATTTATTTATTTTATTTTATTTATTTATTTTTTTGAGTTGGAGTCTCACTCTGTCGCCCAGACTGGAGTGCAGTGGCCGCTCCCAGCCACCGCTGCCTCGACCTGCTGGGCTCCGGCGATCCTTCCGTCTCAGCCTTCCAAGTAGCTGGAACTATAGGCATGCGCTACCACGCCTGGCTCGTTTTTGATTTATTGCAGAGATGAGGTCTCACCAAGTTGCCCAGGTGGGTCTCGAACCCGCAGGCTCAGGCAATCCACTCACCTCAGCCTCCCAAAGTGCGGGATTACAGGCTACCAAGCCCGGCTATTTTATTTTAAAGATGTGGGGTACAATTCAGAATTGGGTATACAAGTGGACATCGTACAGGTAAAGTCTGTCTCTCTTTGGTTCCCACTTTGCTTGGTTTGAGATCAGGTACCTTATGAGCCAAGATTATACAGAGAAATGATAATACAACTCTGAAAGATAATTAATTTATCTGATAATTACTTACTGAGGATCTACTAGATACTAGACACAAAGCAAAATATGAGAGTGGCTAGTGGAAGAGGTTGGGGTTGGGGAAGGGGAGGATAAATGGGTGGGTAAGACAGACAACTCCTGCTTTTATACTCTAGCAAATAATTAAAGAAATGATTACAATAAAATGTTCTACAAGTGGCAAGCAAGTGGGGAGGGCCACTAACTCAGTCTAGGAGCCAAGGGCAAAGAACTTGACAAAAAGTGTCTGAGAGGATGGCAATTAAGAGAACTTGGGCCGGGCTCGGTGGCTCAGCCTGTAATCCCGTGCCTTTGGGAGGCTGAGGTGAGTGGATTGCCTGAGCCCATGGGTTCAAGACCCGCCTGGGCAGCGAGACCTCATCTCTACAATAAATCAAAAAATCAGCCGGGTGTGGTAGCGCATGCCTGTAATTCTGGCTACTTGGAAGGCTGAGGCAGAAGGATCGCCGGAGCCCAGCAGGTCGAGGCTGCGGTGGCCAGGAGCAGCCATTGCACTCCAGTCTGGGCGACAGAGTGAGACTCTAACAAAAAAAAAAAAAAATGAGAGAGAGAACATGAAAGACATTTAGAATGACTCAAGTGGTTGAGAGTGGCGAGAGATGAGACTAAAATGTCAGTAGGGTAGCTTATAAACAGAATTGCAAGCTATGTTGAGACATATGGACTTTATCTGAAGGGCAATGGGAACTGCTGTTTGAAAGGATAGTGGCATGATTGTATCTGGATTTTTCTTGTTCTTTTTTTGAGTCGGGGTCTCACTCTGTCACCCAGGCTGGAGTGCGGTGGCACCATCACGGCTCACTGCTGCCTTGACTTCCTGGGCTCAAGCCATCCTTCTACCTCAGCCTCCCAGTTAGCTAGGACTCCAGGCATGTGCCACCCTGCCCAGCTAATTTTTTGACTTTTTGTAGAGACAGGGTCTTGCTATATTGCCCAGGCTTGTCTCAAATTCCTAGGCTCAAGCAATCCTCCTGCCCCTGGCTTCCCAAAGTTCTGGGATGATAGGCGTGAGCCACCGTGCCCAGCCTGGATTTTTTAACAGATTCTGACAGCTACAGAGTGAAGAAGAGATTGTTGTCAAGACCTACACTGAGGATAAAGAAGCCAGTTAGTAGTCAATTACAACCATCCAAGCAAGGGATGATGGTTGTCTAAACTGGCATGTGGCAGTGGAGATGGAGAGATGTGGCTGGTTACATTATTTAGTTTGAAAACAGATCCAACAAGATTTGTTGATCTTTGTGCTATGGATGAGCAGATTCAAGGATAATTCCCGGGTTTCTAGCTAGATATTTGCCTGGGTTATGGTGTCCTTCCCCTGAGATGGAGAGACTGAGGGTAGAGGGAGGAGAAGCACGTTTTTGGGGGTCAAATGATGACCTCCCTTTGGCCATACTGAGCTAGAGATGTCTGAGACTCCAGGGGGATTTTTTTAGATGATGTCTCTTGAGTCATATCAAGGGGAAATTTTGAATTAACTTCAAAATTTCAGACTTCTGAAATTGATACTGAGTTGATCAACTTCTGAGTTGATACTGGGCATGTTCAAGGGCTAAGAATTAGCAGAAATGGAAATTAAAGAAACATGAGAGTGAGAAGTTCAATCGCTACCATAATCCCTGGAGGACAAGAATGATAGACCCATGCACAGGTGGGGGACTTGGCCTCGGATTAAACAGAGGACTTCCTCTTTCCATCCAATGACAGGAAAGACAAAAAAAAAATGGGCATGGAGATGGATAAATGGTCATCTTCATGGCAGAAAATCAAGGAAGATCCTGTCTGGCGACTTCTATTTACTTTAAAAAGGAGACAAAGCCGTCTGCCGGGAAATATGATGGGTACAGGTCTAAGGTGTATGAAGAGGAGAACATTTACAAAGGACATTGCAAAGAACAGAAGAAAGGAACCAGAATGATCAGGATTATTTCCATCCAGAGTAGAGAGCTGATGTTTCTCTTCTTCTGGAGTTTGCTTTGAGAAGAAATTCGGTGTTCCTCATTCCTTGGCCTGTGGTATCACCCACTTGTGTCTTGCTTTGGAAATTATTTCGGAGAGCT